CCCCAAAACCCCAAAACCCCAAAACCCCAAAACCCCAAAACCCCAAATAGTTGATGAATTATTGAGTTGTTTTATTCTTCAAATATATGTTTGTATTTGTTATGCTCTTTTGCAATGAAATCAGCTCTGATCTTTTTGACCACCTCTAATTCCTTCTTAGAAGGCTTATGCTTTGGATCTACTTTAAGTGCGTTCTCAAAGGCTTCCACAGCTTGATCGTATTCTTGCATCTCATAGAAAGCTTTTCCCCTGAAGTACCAAGCTTTCAAGCAATCTGGCTTATAGTCAATGACTTGGTTAGTGATGTCAATAATACTCTCGTATTCTTTCATTTTGTATTTTCATACTGCTACGTTCATAAAGCATGGCTCTTTTAGGTCCCATAACTCCTTGTAGTACTTCTTAAACTCCTCGCTTTCTTCATCTTCTTTTAAAAAGTTATTGTTGGCGTCTCCAAAGTTAAAATATCCATTAATTTTCTGATACATTTTTCATGCCTTTTTAATGTGATTCTTTAGTTTAGTGGCTTTAAAGAAATCAGTGGCTATCCTTTTGAAATCTAGAAGTCTTTCAACTTTCTGTTTAATAGGGAGTTTGAAAAATGCTTCTGGCTGATCGAAATCGAGCAGATGGATTGTTATTACAATCTCATATTCTTTATTTTTATCAAACCAGCTCTTATCAATCAGTTTATCAGAGAAATTGTTTGTTAACTTATCTACCCTATTAGTTTTGATTTCTGAGATTTCGTCTTTGTACATAGTCTTCACTACTTTTCCGATCAAAGATGGAAGAGTATATTCATAAAGCAAGAAGTTCTGAGACTCATTTTTGAATGTAATAGGCTTTAGACTCTCTTCCTTTTCAGCAATTTCTTTCTCAATTATTTCTCTTTGGCTTTCAACTCCTTCTTGAATCTCTTCGACCTTAAGACCTTCTAACTGTTTTCTGAGTTTCTCAATCTCTCTCCTCTCTCTCATGTTCACTGAGTGAATGTTGATTTCATCTACATCAAAGAGAGTATCCATTTTTGTTTCTCCATTGATGTCGATTTTCATTCTTAATTCTACGGTCGATTCGTAAAATGGAACTCTTTTGAATCCTTTCTTAAGACATCTCCTTAAAGTCTTTCTGTCATTATACCAGTCGATGATGGTGACAAAGTCTCTGAGTTCAATCCTGATGTAGAGAGGTTGGTACTCGTTGATGCCTAACTTTTTGACCATTTCTTTATCATGTTCGATGAAGTATTCTGGAACTGCTACTCCTTCTGCTATCTCACCTACTCTCATGGTCTCAATAATTTTTCTACCGCAGTTTGTAATTTGATCATGATCCATGAGGACTCTCCATTCAGTCTTTTCGAAAAATATTGTCGTAGCTGGCTCTTTCTGGTAGATTTTTATGTCAATGAAGACTTCATCGATGCCATTGGGTTTATCCATTGGTTCTTTAGATCTCTTCTCAACGAACTTAACAAGTTTGCCGTCATTAGAGACATCATCTCTGATCCTCCAGTCTACGAGTTCAATCTCGTAGATAACACCTTTAGTTTGGATTCTTTGTAAATTTTCCCCTTCTTTGCATGATTCTGGGATCCTGAGCAATTCAGGATCAAGAGAAGTGCCAAATCCATAGCTTTTTCTCATTTTGATCTTTGAAATTTCTCCTTTACGCATCTTTCCGAGACCCATCCTGAGTCCTTCAGGCCATTGCTTGTCATTAAGAACGATATCTACTACTTCTCCATTAGTGTCTTCAATTGGAGTGTGGTCGAAGAAGTACATTTTGTACTTACATTTACACAGGAACTGGTTATTAGGATATCTAACTCCAGTTCCAACCTTAAGAATCTCCTTAGACACTTTGTTTGGGGCGCATACCTCTGTATAGTCTCCTACTTTCTGCACTGGCTCGTCCATGTAGTCTGAGTCGTACAAATAGCGGCTGTCACTCTCTGGGATCTCATCCATATCTTGATTCGAGATGTCTGACTCAGCAGATGAGCATTCTGGCATTAATGATTGGAAATCTTCCATTTTCACACAAAATTTAAATTAGATTTGCAAATTCTACTGCCTGAAATGGGGTTTTGGGGTTTTGGGGTTTTGGGGTTTTGGGG